GCTCTTATCGTGTTGTTTAACACTGTGTTACTTGGATGTCCCATTCTTGCGTGCCAGGTTCCTTCAGTGGTGCGATGTCCGGGTGAGCAGCGATACATGTCGGAGTCGGAGTAGAAGCTAGTAGTGAAGTTGGCGCTTCGGTGAACTTCTCGTGGTGCTGGGTTTAGCTGTTGTGCGGGTGTCAGTGGTGTGTCGTCGACAAAGATTGGTGCCGTTGAAGGACCAGCGACTGGTGTCGATGTTGCCGCTGCTGCTATCGTTGTTTCTGCTGGTGTTGATGTTGTCTCTGCTGCTGCCGGTGTTGTCTCTGCTGCTGTCGATGTTGTCTCTGCTGCTGCTGAGTGTTGAATCATTGCTAATGCTCTTGTTTGTTCTGCCTCAGGGATGGTGTGCGAGTGCCAGAAACCATTGGGACTGAAGTCGGGGTCGAGATCCGATGGATGTGTCCAGGAGGTGAAGGTGACTATTTCGTCGCTGTCAGCGGTGCCGAGATCTGAGACGAAGTCGAGGACGAAGACGTTATTTTTCAGGACTGCCTTCCAGATGTAGAGACTGCCCTACCCGTGGTATAACTTAAACTCCTGAGTGGTGCTGTCTGCTTCGAGGTGTATGTGTCAGAATATTATGCTCTAGCCTGTAGTGGGGTGCTCTATAGCGAGTACAACCCTTCTAGGGTTTGCTATTTGTATCCTCATTCTTGCTAGTGCAAACCCTCTTCTTCCTTCTAAACTTTCACATGGTATCAGAGCAGGTCGATCCCCCTTGGATCGATCCTGTGGGTGGGCTTACCACCTCCTTGCTTCCGCTGCAACTACTACCACTACACTCAGTGCCGCACGCCCAGTGGCGTGTGGCAGTTTTTCTTCCCGCCGTGCGCCCCGAGGCGCACGGCGGTTTTCTTCCCGCCGTGCGCCCCGAGGCGCGCGGCGGTTCTTTGCCCGCTGTGCGCCCCGAGGCGCGCGGCGGGCTTCGGCCCCGTCGTGGCCTGAGCGCGGCCCGTACATGCAGCGCGCGGCCCGTACGGGCTGCGCCTGGCCTGCGCGCGGCCCGTACAGGCAGCGCGCGGCCCGTACGGGCTGCGCCAGGCCCGCGCACCACCCGTACGGGCTGCGCCAGGCCCGCGCACGGCCCGTATGGGCGGCGCCAGGCCCGCGCGCGGCTTAGGCTGCCTGCGCGTGGCTCGGGCGACCCTACCTGCGGCCCTGGCCCCGGCCCCGTCGCCCTACCTACGGTTCGGGCCCGTCGCCCTACCTACGGCACCGCCTCCCCCCCCCCCCCCCCCCCCCCCCCCCTTTTCCCGTCGCCTGTCGAGGCAACCTGAGGGGCGACCTGGGGGGTGGCGGGTGTGTGGTCTCCCCTGCTCCTCCTCCTCCTCCGTCTCCTTGTGCTACAGCTACCGCTGAGGGGGGGTGGACTTGTTGAAGCCGGTGGAGTGGTACTAAGGGGGGGTGAAGGGGGAGTGGAGCTAGGGGTGTAGCAGTGGGTGTATGAGAGGGGCGTTGGGCAGCTGGGGGAGGTTGAGTGGAGGCAGCAGTCTTGTCGTCAGCAGCAGCAGCAGTCCGGAGGCTACAATCTCCGGTAGTCGCCAGTCGCCCGTGGGTCCGTTGCTCGTCTGCCGCTACTTAAGCCGCGGGGCCAGCTACTCCAGTAGTCCGGAGCGCTATTCTGGTAGCCACTGGGCCAGCAGCTCGTCTGTGTGTCTGCAGCGTCAGCAGTCGCCTCCCATCTTCTCTCCCCCATAGTCCCTCCTCCTCCACACATGCCCTCTGCGATAGCCTCTGGCTTTGCTCATAATTGTGAACTTAAACTATTGCTTCTTGAACTTGTGCTCACAATGTGTGGTGACATTGTGATCCACCCTGAGCTTGTACTGCTTTGCTTGCTCTGCTGATTACACCCCACTTGGCTATGGGGGTGTGTCATAATATTATGCTCTAGCCTGTAGTGGGGTGCTCTATAGCGAGTACAACCCTTCTAGGGTTTCTATTTGTATCCTCATTCTTGCTAGTGCAAACCCTCTTCTTCCTTCTAAACTTTGACAGTATGCCCTTCGCCATCAGTTGGCTGACGCTTAGTAAGTTGTAGCTGAGTCCTTCAGCTATTAAAAACTTCGACATCTGCAGTATGACGTTTGTTTCTCGTGACTGAAGTTGAACTACGCCTTGTCGTCGTGTGCGCAGGTTCTGGTTGTTCGCGACAGTGATGACGACTTCCCGCTGGAGTTGGTATTCTCATTGAACGAAGCGACCTGAATAGCACATTTGTTGTCCGCAGCAACTGTCCAAGAACCAGGTATCCTTCCCAGACGGTTCGCTTTGGGCGATGGCTGCGTACGTTGGGTTCGGTTGCAGCGACTCTCGACGTCGAGTCCTTTCGTCGAGTTGTTCTTCTGGTGAGTAGTGCGGCGGCAATTCAGTGATGTAGGAGTTGGTCAATCTTGCCATGCAGCTAACAATGTTCCTTGTTCCTTGTGCAGGTTGTCCAGTCGACATTGTTGACGTTTGAACTTGAGTGGTGGAATTTGCTTGCGTTGAAGCAACTTGACTGCTTGAAGGTCGGAGCTGCCGCTCCGTTGGTGCTGACTGCTGCCTGTTAGGCTAGTGTGTGCGGGGATGGCCTGACGTCTTGCAGAGATGACAGAACGGAGGTACGGGTTGTTGACCTCGGTACTTGTTTTACCGATGGTTGTTGTTGTTGTAGCGCCGTTGAGTGTGGAAAGTGAACTCAGGCACTGACGTCTTCCTCTTGTGTTTTTCTTCTTGTAGGTCCATGTCTTGCTGCTCAGCATGAATTTCGGCGCATAATGCTGCTTCAGAGATCTTCCCGTGAGCTCGGAGTATGGCGTGAGTAGAGCGTCAATGAGGACCAAGACCGCCAATTACAACTGTGACGAAGGCGTCTTCTAATATTGACCCTCCGCATTGAAGGAGTTTGTCGCACAATTCGCGACAGCGGCTGATATACGCCATCCCTTTTTCGCCCGGTTTCATTTCCACTGTTGACAGTTGTGCCATTAACCAACTCTGATTGACTCTATCTGTTGCCTGATACAGGTTCTTTAGGTGGTTGTACGCGAGCTCGGCGGAGTTTCCCTATCCTCGGTAAGACCGAATGTTCTGCTGCTGGTTCGGTGTGACTTTGCGCAGTAGGATTGTATACGCCATCATGGATTAATACGTATACTGCTGCTTGTCCTATTGCGTTCCGTGCGTTGGATATGGCATGTGGAATAACGAGGAATGAATAAACTACCAAGCAGGTGGGTACAAGTAGGAAAAGCGTAAAAGTGTTGTACCCCATATTGTCTACCCCACTACAGCCTACACAGACTATAGCATATGAGTTTGACATGGCAGGGACCCGTCGAAGAAGCCAAGAATCTGCGCGCCTTCCATCATCAGTTCGAATTCGAATGACCAGGTAAAGAAGTCCTTTCCGTCGAACGGTCTTGACGTCTGGAGTTTTAAAACGTGTGCAAACTGTGACTGAACTTAAAGTGCATCTAATGTCTTCTCTTGCTCAGGTGACGGTTGCTTGCGCGGCATGAAGCTGACGGAACCACGCTGAGGTTCGTACGGGGCGAAGGTAGGTTGCTGTTGCTGATTTCCTCATGCGTAGGATGAACCGTCGAGGCTCATTGGTGTTGTATTGTTGTTGTTGTTGCTGTTGTTTGATTGCGCAGGTGCCCCTTGCTGGTGTTGTTTGTAGAAGGACATGAAGGAGAAGAATGTCTCCATCATGTCTAGGTCGAAGGTCGCGGCTTGATTTGCGGGAGTTTCGGTAGACCCAGCTGCCGGTCTTGTTGCTGTACCCTCCTCTGTCTGTAGGCCAGAGGTAGGAGGTGGAGTAGGAGTAGTACTGGGAGAGCCGTTAGAGGAGCTTCTCTCCTTCTACGTTGCCACGCCTTGTGATATTGTAGGTGTCGTGATTGTAGTTGAATTTGTCCTGATTGCTCTCATACCATGTTGGGCTGAGAAAAGCCCTTAGGATCTTTGCAAGACTAAATTCTAAGTAGAATTTATGTAATAGCAGAAGTGTTTAATGATAAGCTTGTGAACCACCTTGCGCTAGTATGTGAGGGCAAAGTCGATTGATTAAAACAAAATGATAGAAGCTTTTATAAGAATACAAGGGAATATGAAGAGTTATAACTAATAACTGTTTTGCTGTTGCTGTTGCGGTTCGATACAATAACGACTCGGGCAATTGCTCAATAACGAGTCAGTTGTTTGTCCTTGCTGTCGCGCTATATTTGTCAGGTCAAATGTTGCTGACCTTTGACTTTCGCGTAACCCCTAGCAGTTGCTCAACCTCCGAGGGTTGACTCGCCGATGCTTCGATATGTTCTGTTTCGCTTATGACTTAGTGTTTCGACACGACAGAGGTGCTTAAGTCAATTGTTTCAAACAAAAAATATAAAATTTGAAGTGCCATGTATTTAGCCCATGGGGTCATAAAATTTACCAAACGTCAATGTCAGAAATTTGGGCACGTCAATTTTCCATATCGTTTTCTCCCGCCACTGCTGAATTCTTGCACGCTCTTCCTAGCAAACAACCACCTCACAAGGTGGTCGCTCAGATTTTGTGTTGCTTCTCAACCTTTCTACCTACAGACATTCCCGCCACTGCTGCTCTTCTGCATTCTTTCTCATCACACAACCACTTCACATTTGTGGCGGATCTGACGATTTAGGGATTCATGGCTCTAGAATTAGAAGAAACTCGTGCCACTACTGCACCACCACTTTGTCCCATGTCTAGCGACCATGGAAAATGGTGCGTATCTTGAGATCCGTTCGTTCTCCTAAACTTGAGTAGAGTTGTAGATCTCACGAGGACTTCTCCTCCAGGCGAGCAGAAATGTAGATCGCGCCACGACACCAGCACCAAGAATACTACAAACACAATCGTCAAAAGCCATACCATCATATCACTCTCTCTACAACAATCTCATCCACTCGTTGCTTAGTCTCCCTTTCCCACTCCTACCACTTTACCATGGCTCCTAAGCGTAGACTCAGCAAAGCTTCTAAGAAGGGTCTGGCATCTGGTAGTGACGCTCCCCTGGTGGACCATCCGTATGTTGCCTGGATGAAGAAGCGCCAGGCGGAAGGAGATCGGCGGGGACGCCTTCGCAACGAGTGTGCTGAGACTCGTGACGGGGAACCCTTCGGCGACCCGGACAATCAGCCAAGCAAGGCTCCGGCTGAGGACAATGAAGCCTCCTCGTCTTCTGATCGGAAGGAGTTCGACGCGTTTGAAAGTAGCGACAGCGAGGCGGATTCCGACGCTTCGCTCGACACACCACAAAACGACTTTGATGGAGCCGACGAGGACAACAAAATCGCGGACGAAGGACCTGTGGCTGCGGATGACATCGGAAATTCCGCCCAGAAGCGTGGAGGGGAGCGTCCTAAGAAGAAACGCAAGGTCTGGTCAGAATTCGAGATGACAAAGATGGCCACCGCTCGTTGGTTCGCGCGTGAAGATTTGAAGGCAATGCAAGGGAAACAGGGGGCCCAGTATTGGAAGAAGCTCTGTAGGCACATCCGCAAGGCGAACAAGAATTGGGTTCGCAAATCGGAGGCCATGAAGCAGCAGTGGAAGCGGATGGAGCGCGAATTCAAGGAGATCAACGATGCTTTGAACGTGTCAGGCAACGCCAACATCGTCAGGCCACCGTGGTTTACCTATATGGAAGATCTGAGGGCAGGATCTGCTGCCGTTGACCCCCATGTTGTGGATGGGGGTGGCGCCGTCGAGGACCATGCTGATCCTAACGCGACCATGGAGCCTCCATCCATTGCGACAGCTACTCAGCAAGTGCCCATGGTTTGAGGTGAGCTAGTAGGGGTAAGTTTCTATATCTGCACATGATACAACAATTTAGTTCGCCTTTGTCTCATGTTTTGTGCTTAAATACTTCCTTGATGCATTCCAACATTGAAGATATCCTACATTCTCCAAGTACCATTAGTCGCTTTGACACTGATTCCATCAATCCCGAAACAGCAAAATAACCATGCTAAGATTCGGACCATCTAAAATCCCATGCCTAAGGTTCCTCTGTGCTTGTCACCCCTTTACCTACAGCCCCACCCCCCCCTACTCAAGAGCAAAATCCGCAGCCGATTCGTAGCAAGCACGTGGCAGAAAGTGCGACCATGACTGGGGCGAAGCTCATCGCGGACACCCTGAAGGCATGTAACCAGGAAGGCCTTGCTAAGCTGGACTAGATTACTGCTCTCATCATGAATGCTGTGGTGGCGGCTTCAGCGGCTCCAGAGGGCGGCAGCGGCAAATGCGGGACAGGATGACCCTACCACTCCCACTGTGACCCTAGACCATGGTGATCCGACCAGCCCGGAAACCTGTAACACGGATTACACCAACAACCCAAGCTCGGAAGAGACCGCCGCTCCTACCGACATGGGTCCCACTAACGGCGAGGCCGCTGAGTTCCAACAGTAGCTGCACGGTTGCTTCGCAGATAAGCTCTCATAATCCACTTCCTGAAATACTTGCGGCGTCGCTGAAGCTCCTTTGCTGTTGCCCTCCTTAGCAACGGCGAATGAAACCTACTCATTGTCAAACATTATATATGTTGTTGTGCTTGTTTAGGCTACAGTGGGTTAGCCTATAGGGGGTACACAATTCTAGGGTTAGGTACTTGTACTGATTTCACTGCTAGTTCAATCATCCCTGTTCGTTTATTTCAACATGGTATAGAGCAGGTCCTTCCTAGGACTGATTTTTTTTAGGGCCCACCACTACCTACCTACCTACCTACCTACCTGCGCCCTAGGGCGCCTCGGTTTTCACTGCCCTCTAAGGCCCCGTCGGCCCGCCCCTAGAGGCCCCGAACGGCCCACGCGCTCACCCCTAGCGGCCCCTTTCGGCCCCGCGATCGCCCCTAACGGCCCCGTCGGCCCCTCGCTTACCTCCCTAGAGGCCCCGTCGGCCCCGCGCTCACCTCCCTAGAGGACCGGAACGGCCCCTTCGACCCCACGCTCACCTCCCTAGAGGCCCCTTACAGCCCCGTAGGCCCCGCGCTCACCTTCCTAGAGGCCCCGAATGGCCCCGTCGGCACCTAGAGGCCCCTTTACGGCCCCGCGCTCACCTCCCTAGCGGCCTCGAAAGGCCCCGTCAGCCCCTAGAGGCCCCGTTAAGGCCCCGCGCTCACCTCGTTAGAGGCCCGGAACGGCCCCGTCGGCCCCGCGCCCACCGCCCCTAAAGGCCCCGAACGACCCCGTCGGCCCCGCGCTCACCGCCCCTATAGGCCCCGAACGGCCCCATGCTCGCCCCTAGAGGCCCCGAGCAGCCCGTGACCTCCACAGCCCGGGACCGGACCGAGCCACGCGACCCGAGCCGAGCAACGCGACCCAAGCCGATCCGCGCGACCCGACCTGAACCGCGCCGCCCCACCCGAGCCGCGCCGCCCTACCTGAACCGAGCCGCCCTACCTGCTTCCTCCTCCTCCTACTGCTGCTACTTCTACTGCTCCTATGGCTAGCCCACAGGTTCTAGTTTTCGATGCTGAGGGCCGCCCAGTGAAGTTTGACACCTGGCTAGATGACCTGCACCTCTATCTACAGCTCACAGCCAAGGATGACATCTCATTGTACGACCACGCCCTAGGCCATGTCACTGCCCCTGCTGCTACTGCTGACAGCACTGCTCGCTCACAGTGGCAGACTCGTGATGCCCACGCTCGCTTCGCTATTCGCAACTCCCTGCCGATAGACGAACGCGAGCACTTTGGCCAGCACAAGACTGCACATGCACTGTACGCAGCTGTCGTTGCTCGCTACTCCTCACCTGCCTCTGCCGCGCTAGGCAGTCTCTCCCTCCCCTACCTGTTTCCCGACCTGGCCTCGTTCCACACAGTTGCTGACCTCATCACGCACCTCCGTACTAGTGAGGCCCGCTTCCGTGCCGCCATGCCCGCTGAGTTCCTTGCCACGCACCCTCCCCCACTCTGGCTCACTCTCTACCACCTAGTCACCCGCCTCCTTGACACACTGCGTGCTGTCAGGGACCACTTCCTAGCTTGCTGCCCCACTGAGCTCACCATTGCCCTCCTCGAGAAGGAACTGCTTGCAGCTGAGACTAGCATAGTCACTGTAGGTGCCTCTTGTGGCGACCCCCGTACCCCGTTCTTTGAGGGGTGTTCTCCTTCCCCCCTTCTTCCCTCTATCGCCTCTTCTGCTGCTGCCGACCTCCTTGGTGCTGAGAAGGTCGGTACTGCGTCTACTTCTAGTGGGCGCCGCAGCGGCAAGGGCAAAGGGGGCAAGGGTGGTGGCGGTGACGGCGGGGGAGGCGGTCGTGGGGGCAAGGAGGCGGTGGGGGTGGTGGCGCGACTGGAAGGGCTAGTGGCAGTGGTAGGGGTGGTGGCGGCGGCGGCCGGAGAGCTGGCAGGGGCGGAGGCGGTGGTGGGGGTGGTCGTGGAGGCGCTGGCGATGGCCAGGGCCAGCAGCACACTCCGTCGCCCCAGGAGGTCCGTGAGTGGTACTCTCTGCACGAGGGGGGGGGGGGGGGGGGGGTGGCTTTAGCTGCACGTACGTCATTCGCACTGGTGAATGCACTGGTCAGCGGTGTGGACGACCGCACGCCACACAGCGCTGCTTCGCTCGTCTCGACGACGCTTGGCGTGTTCAGTTCCCTCAGGCCACTGAGCTGCCCCGCTGGATTGATCTCCTGAAGAAGGGGATTGATATCTATGCTCCAGACTTTGATGCTATTCTATCTGCTATTTATGTGATGTCTACTAGTGGAGAGGGTGTTGAGTACCTGTGTGTGCCGCCCGACCCGGGCATTAGGACTAGTGCATCTGCCGCTCCAGGTAGTCGCGTGTCGGCTACCCCAGGTGCTGGTGAGGCAGCTGCTCTAGGTGCTTGCGCGTCTGCCCCCCTTGGTACTGAGTCGACTGCAGCACTGCACACCTTCACACTAGACTCAGGTGCTTCTGGCTGCTTCTTTCGTGATCGCACTGCCCTTGAGCCGCTTGCTCGGCCAGTTGCTGTCTCCCTTGCTGACCCCTCTGGGGGTCCGGTCATTGCGACCTCTTCCACTGTCCTTCCCTGTCCTGCGGTCCCGTCGGGCACACTGTCAGGTCTCCACCTCCCCTCGTTCTCTACGAACTTGGTGGTAGGATGTGCGCTCCAGGACGGGGGTGTTCACCAGTTCACCCCTGCCTACGAGCGCGTGACACACTGTACGTGTGCTCGTACGGGCCGTCACTTGGCTACCTTCACTCGGCAGCCGGGGTCGGACCTGTAGACACTGACCACTGAGTCCCGTCAGGTTGCTGTGTCCGCGTCAGGTCAGCTGTCGGCCCCCAGCTCGTGTCGCTCTCTGGCGCACGAGACTGTCCTCTGGCACCACCGCCTTGGCCACCCGTCTGTGCAGCGGCTTCGTGCCATGCACTCCCGGTACCTTGTCTCTGGCCTGCCCGGGGTCCTTCCTCCCCTCCCACCCTCACCTGCTCCTACCTGTCTCCCCTGTGTCGAGGGACGGCAGCGCGCCGCTCCTCACTCCTCCTCGTTTCCCCCGACGACTGCTCCCTTGCAGACACTCCACATGACCATGTGGGGCCTAGCCCGCGTCCGTGGTCAGGGTCAAGAGAGGTACTTCCTGATAGTTGTTGACGACTACTCGTGCTACACCATGGTCTTCCCCTTGCGCACCAAGGGTGAGGTCCCTGATGTCTTGATCCCTTGGATCCGCAGAGCCCGTCTCCAGCTCAGCGAGCGTTTTCACTCGGACTTTCCTGTCCTCCGCTTGCACTTTGACAGAGGTGGTGAGTTCTCCTCCGACCTCTTGGCAGCCTACTGTGCTGAGCACGGCATTGAGCAGTCGTTCACGCTTCCGGCCTCTCCAGAGCAGAATGGGGTTGCGGAGCGCCGCATGGGCCTGGTCATGGAGTTCGCCCGTACCTCCTTGATCCATGCGGCTGCCCCCCACTTTCTGTGGCCGTTTGCGGTCCGGTTCGCTGCGCATCAGCTCAACCTCTGGCCCCGTGTCTCCTTGCCGGAGACCTCGCCCACACTGTTGTGGACGGGGGGGGTTGGCGATGCGATGAGTTTCCGAGTCTGGGGATCTCGAGCTTTTGTCCGCGATACGTTTGCGGACAAGCTCTCCTCCCGTGCTGTTCCCAGCGTCTTCCTCGGCTTTGTCCCGGACGCGTCTGGTTGGCAGTTTTACCACGCCACCTCGCGCCGAGTCTTGCTCTCTCAGGACGTCTCTTTTGACGAGTCCGTCCCCTACTACCGCCTCTTCCCCTACCGCACTGCCCCGCTCCCCCCCCCCCCCCCCCCCCGCCTCTCTTCCTCGCGCCAAGTGCTGCTGTTGTAGACCCCCTCCCCCCTCAGGGTGCCGCTCCCTCAGGTGTGTCTCAGGTAGACCCGGTTGAGCCTGTTGAGGTAGCTGTCGACTCTCGTCCTGCTGGGGGTGCTGAGCCTGGGGGTGTTGAGCCTCGGGGTGCTGAGCCTGGGGTTGCCAGGACTGGGGGTGCTGAGCCTGGGGGTGCGGAGCTTGGGGGTGTGGAGCCTGGGGGTGCGGAGCCTGGGGGTGCTGAGCCTGGGGGTGCTGAGCTTCGGGGTGCTGAGCCGCAGAGTCCGTAGTCTGGGGGTTCTGAGTCTGGAGGTGCTGAGCCTGAGAGTCCTACACCTGGAGGAGCCCTCTCCTCAGAGCAGCTGCGTGAGTGGTATTTACAGTACTGCAGCCTCATGAGAGGTACCTCTAGAGCCAGACGTGCTACTGGGACAGGTGCTAGTGCTTCTCCTCCTAGTCGGGAGCTCCCCTCTCGTGAGCGGATCCGTGAGTGGTACGAGCGGCGTTGCACTCTTTGGAGTGGCGCGCCTCGTGTCGCGGACCCCGCTGCCGTGGGTGCTGCTGTTGGTGCTGAGGACCCGGGTGTTGGAGCTGTTGCTACTGCTGAGGATTCGGGTGTTGGAGCTGCTGCTGGTGCTGCGGACCTGGGAGTGTGAGCTGCTGCTGGTGCTGAGGACCCAGGTGTTGGAGCAGCTGCTGGTGCTGAGGACCCGGGTGTTGGAGCTGTTGCTGGTGCTACGGACCCGGGCGTTGGAGCTGCTGCTGGTGCTGAGGACCCAGGTGTTGGAGCTGCTGCTGGTGCTGGGGACCCGGGCGTTGGTGCTGCTGCTGGTGCTGAGGGCCCTGCCGCTGGTGCTGCTGCTGGTGCTGCGGACCCCAGCGCGGGTTTCTCTGCTGGTTCTGGTGTCGCTGCACGACCGCGGCCGTACTTCGTTCCGCTCCTTCAGCAGGTTCTTGGTCCGCTCCCTCCTCCGTGTCCTCCTCCCTCCTTAGGGTGTCCTCCATCTGCCCAGCTGCCGTCGCAGCTACCGTCTGCCTCCTCTCTCCCTGGTCCTGCTCCTTACACTGGTCCGTCTGGAGGTCTTACTGAGCGTCTTCAGCCTGAGTCTCGTCCTGCGTCGCCTGAGCCTCGTCGTGCGTCGCCTGTCCGTACTGATCTCACTAGTAGTCGTGTCCCGCGTCAGCGTCTTCCTGCTGTCCCAGGCACTCAACGGATGGCGCTTCGTCCGTCCACTGCTCCACAGCGTGTCCCACTGCCGTCTCCTCCTTCTTCCTCTCTTCCTGCTCTTGCTGACCCGGGGTCAGACTCCCTTCGTGCTGCGAGTCCTACTGTCATGCGTCTCCTGGCTACTGTTGTCACTGACCCTTCCTTTGAGTCCGCTGCAGCGTCTGCCTTAGTTGCTGAGCTTGTGGACTTTGCTGCCACCTGTCGTCTAGACTACGCTGCTAGCCTGGTTGCTAAGTCTGAGTCTGTCTTTCCTCCGTCCGTCAGGAGTGAGTGTGCTCTTGGCACTGACGTCCTTGAGGACAGGCAGGAGGAGTTTGAGTGCTTTGCTGCCGCTTTTGCCCATCTCGTGTCCATGCTTGTTGCCCCTGAGGGAGACCCAGATGCACCAAACATCCCGACCCCACTCTCTTACGCAGAGGCGATGGCCGGTCCCTACTCCTCTCAATGGCAGTCGGCCATGGACACAGAGATGGCTTCCTGGAAGTCCACAGGCACCTATGTCGACGAGGTTCCCCCGTGTGGGGTGAACATCATCAGTGGCATGTGGATTTTCAGGGTAAAGCGGCCGCCCGGCTCTCCGCTTGTCTTCAAGGCGCGTTACGTTGCACGAGGCTTCAGTCAGCAAGAGGGAGTTCACTTCTTCCAGACCTTCTCCTCGACCGCGAAGATGACCACTCTTCGGGGTCTGCTGCACGTCGCCGCTCAGCGTGACTACGAGCTCCACTCTCTTGACTTTAGTACTGCTTTCCTACAGGGCAGCCTGCACGAGGAGATCTGGCTGCGCCGTCCACCTGGCTTCACTGGGTCGTTCCCTCCTGGTACCTAGTGGAGCCTCCGACGGCCAGTCTACGGTCTCCGCCAGGCGCCCCGTGAGTGGCACGACACATTGAGGACTACACTTGCGGCCCTTGGGTTCGCGCCTTCTACTGCTGACCCGTCGCTGTTTCTACGCACTGACACCTCACTGCCGCCGTTCTACATCCTCGTGTATGTCGACGACTTGGTCTTTGCCGCTGCTGACACTGTGGCACTCGCCCACGTGAAGTCGGAGCTGCAGAAGAGACACACGTGCACAGACCTGGGTGAACTGACAAGCTATCTTGGCTTGCGGATCACCCGGGACAGAGCACGCTGCACCATCACCTTGACTCAGTCACACATGGTGCAGCAGGTCCTTCAGCGCCTCAGCCCACTCCTCTGCCTACCGGTCACTCGCTCTCAGCTCTGCCTTCGGATGAGTCCGTAGAGCCGAGTGGCCCGTATCCAGAGCTTGTGGGTTGCCTCATGTACCTGATGACCTGCACTCAACCTGACCTTCCATACCCTCTTAGCATTCTTGCACGCTATGTCGCTCCTGGCCGTCACGAGGAGCACATGGATGCAGCTAAGATGGTGTTGCGCTACTTGTGCAGTACGTCGAGCATGGGGCTAGTGCTTGGAGGGCGAGTCCCAGTTGTTCTCATTGGGCACTCAGACACTTCTTGGGCAGACGACCAGGCTACTCAGCGGTCATCTCAGGGTTACTCCTTCAGTCTTGGCTCTGGTTCAGTTTCTTGGCGTTCTACTCGCTCTTCTTTCGTTCTCAGCTCCAGTTGTGAGGCTGAGATCTACGCCACAGCCATGGCGGCGCAGGAGATATGCTGGCTCACCTACTTGCTAACCGACCTTGGAGAGCAGCCTCGTTCTCCTCCAGTGCTGTACGTCGACAACAAGCCAGCCATTGCCTTGTGTCAGGAGCACAGACTGGAGCACAGAACGAAGCACATTGCTCTGCATTACTTCCTTGCTCGAGAGTTGCAGCTGCGTGGTCAGCTTTGTCTGCGTTACATGGCCTCTGAGGCCAACACTGCTGATGTGTTCACCAAGGCGCTTCAGCCTTGTGACCATCAGCGCTTTTGCACTCTTCTAGGCCTTGTGCCTATTGTACCTCACTTGCTTACATCTTGAGTCTGTTTGTACTGTGATCTATATATATATATATATATATATATATACCTGCATGTTTACTCTTGCTAGGTTGTGATCATTGTACCTCTTGTTGTATTATGAACATGCATGTGAACTGGTCTTGTAACCACTTGCTTGTGCTCGGAATTTGTGTGGTATCCTTGAGATCCACCCTGAGCTTGTTTTGTCTTGCTTTACCCTGACTGGTCTTGTGACCCCTCGTTCTCCCCCACTTCGCCTATGGGGGTGTGTCAAACATTATATATGTTGTTGTGCTTGTTCAGGCTACAGTGGGTTAGCCTATAGGGGGTACACAATTCTAGGGTTAGGTACTTGTACCGATTTCACTGCTAGTTCAATCATCCCTGTTCGTTTAGTTCAACACTCATCCCTCCCCTTGTCCACCAATCAGCCCCCCCCCCCCCCCCTTCTTGCATGCCCCGTGCTAACTTCTTACTGCGCAGGCACAGCTGAATCATCTTTTGCATTTTATTATGGTGTATGATGATGCAAACTGTTCCTGCACAAACCCTCCAGAGACAGCAGTCGTGTCTTTGCGCAAACAATCGCCAACGCCCCTTAAGGGCCCCAATGCATCTCTCCACCGGCATCCTCGTAGCAGATTAAACGTAGTTGAATATTCGCTCCCATCTCTTGAATAGTCGTCGCCTAGGAGCATGTAGGGGGATGAGGCAGTATGCTCGTAGCGGATAGGCTCCAGCCAATTGGTACTCCTGTATGTCTCCTTTCTCTAGTCGATCTTACAGCTTGCTCTTCATAAACACTCTGTAATCGTGAGCTGCGCCCGGATAGCCGACCATATAATCCCATATGACACCTTTAGCGTCGCAGAACATCTGAAGTGGGACTGAATAGTGTGACTTCCTGTTGTAGTATTCAGTGCGATGATTCTCCATTCCCCGCACTTGGACCATAGTGCCGTCCACCGCTCTAACCACGTTGGGCACACCTTTAATATTCCAGAACTCCTCTACCATCACCGGTAGCTCCTCTGACGCAGGGAAACGTACCCACTCGGATTTGAAATGGCGTAGGAAGTGAATGAGGAAGGTGTCCACCAATCTATGGAACATTGTTTCTAACACATAAAAAAAATGGACATGTCAGAGTAGGATAATGCTCACGCGAAGTACTTAATAGGGATCAGGATGCACAAGCGTAGGGGACATTGTGCTGACGAACAAAAGGAGCGTAGACCGCCTCCATTCTCTCTTCAATCATGAGGAGAATGTTCTTGTTGATACGGAATATGTCTTGAAATTCCGCATCCGATTTTAAGAACTAAGGCAAGAGTGAGTGGATTAGGTAGAGGTTAGGGTACAAGACTAGAGTGTCGAGGTTGTTTTTTTGTACCCTCTAAGCCTAACCCCACTACAGCCTACCCAATTATAATCATACAAGTATGTTTGACACACCCCCATAGGCAAAGTGGGGGAGAATAGAGGGTCACAAGACCAGTCAAGAAATGCAAAGCAAGCTCAGGGTGGATCACAACGTCACCACACACTCCGAGCACAAGCAAGAGTCGTCCTCAGTGTGTCGTGCCACTCACGGGGCGCCTGGCGGAGACCGTAGACAGGCCGCTGGAGGCTCCACTGGGTACCAGGAGGGAACGACCCAGTGAAGCCAGGTGGACGGCGCAGCCAGATCTCCTCTTGCAGGCTGCCCTGTAAGAACGCTGTGCTGAAGTCAAGAGAGTGAAGCTCATAGTCACGCTGAGCGGCAACGTGCAGCAGCACCCGAAGAGTAGTCATCTTTGGGGTGCGGGAGAAGGTCTGGAAGAAGTTAACTCCCTCTCGCTGACTGAAGCCTCAAGCAACGTAACGAGCCTTGAAGACAGGCGGAGAACCTGGCGGCCGCTTCACCCTGAAGATCCACATGCCACTGACAATTTTCGCCCCATGAGGGGGAACCTTGTCGACGTAGGTGCTTGTGGACTTCCAGGATGCCATTTGTGCGTCCATTGCTGTCTGCCACTGTGAGGAGTAGGGACCCTCGATCGCCTCAGCGTACGATCGAGGAGTCGGGATGTCTGGTGCATCCGGGTCTCCCTCAAGGGAAAGCAGCATGGGCACGAGATGAGGCACAGCGGCTGCCAGACACTCAAGATCCTTCTGCATGTCCTCAAAGACATCCGTGCCAAGAGCACACTCACCCCCGATGGACAGAGGATAGACAGACTCAGACTCAGTAACAAGACTAGCGACGTAGTCTAGACGTCAGGCAGCAGCAAAGGCAACAAGCTCAGCGACTAAGGGACACGCAGCAACAGACTCAAACGACGGGTCGGCGGCAACAGTGGCTAGCAGATGCGTGACAGTAGGGTGCTCAGCACAAAACCGGTCAGACTTAGGGTCAGCAACAACAGGTAGAGAGGACGCAGGTGGGGACGGCAGAGGAACACTCTGCGGAGGAGAGGAAGGACGACGGACTACAAGGGAAGGGCCGGGGACAGCCAACTGACGCTGACGAGGAATACGATTTCTGGAACAACCAGAACGGACAGGTGAGACAGGACGTGACGCATGCTCACGACGCTCCGTAAGGCCCCCGGTCTGCTCAGCGTAAGGAGAAGGAGCAGGCAGAGTTGAGCCAGGCTTTAACAGAAGACCAGTAGACGATGGGAGGCTAAGAACCTGGCGAAGCACGGAGTCAGGCGGTGGCAGGGACGACGGAGACGGCGGAGCAAAGAACAAACGCGGCCGTGCAGTGTCACCAGCACCAGCAGCTCCAGCACCCTCAGCAGCTCCTGCACCTCCAGCAGCTCCAGCACTCTCATCAGCTCCAGCACCTCCAGCAGGTCCAGTACCCTCAGCAGCTCCATTACCTCCAGCAGCTCGAGCGCCTCCAGCAGCTCCACTACCTCCAGCAGCTCCAGCACCCCCAGCACCTCCAGCCCCTCTTGGTGCAACACCCCCAGAACCGGCACCCCCAGTCCCAGGGTCTCCAACCGCAGTGCCACCAACAGCAGTACCCTCAGACACACCACCGCCCGCCCCAACAGCTCCAGTACCCCCAGTACGACCACCTCCGGGACCAGCGACACCAGCACCTCCAGTAGGCAAAGGACCAGCACCACTTGTCAAACTCATATGCTATAGTCTGTGTAGGCTCTAGTGGGGTAGACAATATGGGGTACAACACTTTTAGGTTTACCTACTTGTACCCACCTGCTTGCTAGTTCAGCCATTCCTCGTTTCTTCACATGGTATAGAGCAGGTTCCCTAGTGGGAACGCTTCTCAGGGCCCACCACTGTACTCGATTTTTTTTTTCTTGACCGGAGCGCGAGTCGCCCCTGCCCGAGGCGCGCCCCGTTGGCCGCCCTCATGTTGCCTCTCACGGCCCCTCGCCACCCCTTACGGCCCCGTCGCCGTCCTTTGCGGCCCCATCGCCGCCCCTCTAGGCCCCTCGCGGCCCCTTCGCGGCCCCGTCCCCGCACCCTCTAGGCCCCTTGCGGCCCCTTCGCGGCCCCATCGCCGCCCCTAGAGGACCCGTCGCCGCCCTTTGAGGCCCCTCGCGGCCCCTTTGCGGCCCCGTCGCCGCCCTTATCGGCCCCGTCGCCGCCCCTAGCGGCCCCGTCGCTGCCCTTATCGGCCCCATCGCCGCCCCTAGCGGCCCTGTCGCCGCTCCTAGCAGCCCCGTCGCCGCCCTTCGCGGTCCCGTCGCTGCCCTTCGCGGCCCCGACGCCGCCTCTAGCGGCCCCGTCGCCACCCTTAGCGGCCCCGTCGCCGCCTCTAGCGGCCCCGTCGCCGCCCTTCACAGCCCCTTCAGCTGCCAAGCAGCCGCACCACCGAGCTGCCAAGCCGCCCAGCCGCCGAGCCGCCCAGCAGCCGAGCCGCCCAACAGCCGAGCTGCCCAGCAGCCGAGCCGCCCACCAGTCGAGCCGCCCAGAGCCGAGCCGCCCAGCAGCCGAGCCACCGAGCCGAGCCACCGAGCCGCCGAGCCGGCGTCGAGCCGCTACTGTTCCTACCGGCGCGCACCGGCCTTACCCACCCGGACTGGTGAGAGCACTCCCTACTAGACCACTGATGTCATGGCTACCCCTAGTGTCCTTACCGTTGATGCTAAGGGTCGTGCTGTTGACTTTGAGGACTGGGTCGATGACCTCCAACTCTTCCTACAGTGGGATAGGGCAGACGAACTCTGCCTGCTACTGCTGACAGCACTGTTCGCCCACAGTGGGCCACACGCGATGCTGCTGCCCGTCTTGCTGTGCGTCGCCACTAATTGACCACTAAGCGTGCGAACTTTAGTCGGTACAAGAGTGCTAAGACCTTGTACGACACTGTAGTTGCACGCTACTCTTCCCCTGCAGCTGCTGCTCTTAGCCGCCTCATGCTGCCGTACCTGTTCCCTGACCTTGCTTCTTTTCCCACAGTCGCTGACCTCATTACGCACCTTCGTACTAGTGACACTCGCTACCGCGCTGCGCTTCCTGCTGAGTTCTGTGCCAAGAACCCTCCCCCCATGTACATCACTCTCTACTACATAGTCAGGGACCACTTCCTCTCTGTTTGCACCACCACACTCACCGTTGACCTCCTCGAGGAGCGCCTCCTTGCACCAGAGAAGAGCATAGTCATGTAGGAGCCTCTCGTGGTGACCCTCGTACCCCCGTCTTTGAGGGGTGTTCCCCCTCCCCCCTCTTGCCCTCTGTTGCTTCTGCTTCTGCCCCTAGCGGGAGACGCCGCACCGGCAAGGGCAATGGGGGCAAGGGCGCTGGAGGGGCTGGCAGGGGCGGTGGAGGTAGCGGTGGAGGCAGTGGAGGGGGTGGGGGTGGTGGTGGGAGTGGTGGCGGGGGTGGAGGTTTCGGTGGCAGCAGTGGAGGCGGAGGAGGCGGCGGCAGTGGCGGTGGGAGCGGAGGCGGCGGAGGTGGCGGCGGCGGCGGCGGCGGCGGCGGCGGCGGCGGCGGCGGTGGAGCTGGTCACGGCTCTGCAGAGAGGAGTGGCTCCGGTGGTGGTCCGCGCCAGCTGCAGCATCGCACTCGTGAGACCCCGTCCCCCAAGCAGCTTCGTGAGTTGTACACTGCGCGTCAGCGAGGTGGGGGTACTGGTCCCTGTACCTACGTCCTCCATACCGGCGACCGCGCTGGTGAGCAGTGCGGGGGCTCGCACTCCACCCAGCGCTGCTTCGGCCGCCTGACGGACGCTTGGCGTCACCAGTTCCCTAACACCACTGAGATCCCTCAATTGGGAGAGCTTTTTAGGGCGGGGGTTGCTATCTTTGATCTTGACTATGATGCTATTCTTGCTGCCATGTATGCTGTGTCTACTAGTGATGAGGGTGGCGGTTACCTGTGTGTTCCGCCTGACCCGGGCATTGAGGTTGCTGCTCTAGGTGCTGGTGAGGCTGCTGCTCTAGGAGCTAGTGCGTCTACTACCCCAGGTGCTGGTGAGTCTACTCTCTCAAGTACCACGTCGTCTCAGGCCTTCACTCTTGACTCGGGTGCTTCCCGCTCCTTCTTTCAAGACCACACCACGCTTACGCCACTTAGTCGGCCGGTTGCGGTCTCCCTGGCGGACCCCGCTGGGGGTCCTGTCCTTGCTCGCTTCTCCACTGTCTTACCGTGTCCGGCAACCCCCTCTAGCACCCTATCAGGTCTCTAGCTCCCCTCATTCTCTACGAACTTGGTGAGTGGTGCTTACCTACAAGATGGGGGGGTTGACTAGTTCACTCCTGCGAGTCAACGGGTGACCCACTGTACGTGTGCTCGAACAGGCCGACACTTGGCCACGTTTACCCGTCGACCAAGGTCGAGCCTCTACATAGTGACTACTCAGTCTACTCCGGTTGCTGAGTCTGGTCAGGTAGCTGTGTCGAGTCAGGTGTTTGCTGCAGTGTCCAGGTCTGGTCCTGAGTCTGCTCCTTGCTCGTGTCGTTTGCTGTCCCACCAGACTCTCCTTAGGCACCACCGCCTTGGTCACCCCTCCCTGCCTCGTCTCCGAGGCATGGCCTCCCGTGTCCTTGTCTCTCGTCTCCCCCGGTCCCTCTCTCCCCTCCCTCCGGGGCCTGCCCCTAGCGGCGTTCCCTGCGTCAAGGGGTGGCAGCGCGTCGCCCCTCACTTCTCCAAGTTTCCTCCGACAGAGGCCCCCCTGCATACTCATCACATAGACGTGTGGGGCATTGCCCGCGTCCGTGGCCAAGGTCACGAGCGTTATTTCCTGTTGGTGGTTGACAACTACTCGCGTTACACCACGGTGTTCCCCTTGCGCAGCAAGGGTGACGTCACTGAGGTGTTGATCGACTGGATCCACGCAGCTCGTCTCCAGCTCAGAGAGAGTTTCGGCTCGGACTTTCCTGCTCTGCGTCTGCACTTTGACAAAGGCGGGGAGTTTTCCTCTGCTCGTCTGGGAGCCTTCTGTCGTGCACAGAGCATCCGCCAAACCTTCATGCTTCTGGCCTCTCCACAGAAAAATGGGATTTCTGGGCGCCGCATTGGCATGGTCATGGAAGTCGCTCGTACGTCCATGATCCATTCGGCTGCTCCCCATTTTCTGTGGCCGTTTGCGGTGCAGTACGCAGCGCATCAGCTCAACCTTCAGCCCCGGATCTCCTTGCCAGAGACCTCCCCCACCTTGCAGTGGACTGGGAAGGTTGGGGATGCGTCTGCGTTTCGGGTCTGGGGATCTCGGGCGTTTGTTCGCGACTTGTTTGCGGACAAGTTGTCCCCCCATGCTCTTCCCTGCGTCTTCCTTGGCTTCCCCTCTGACGCGCCTGGTTGGCAGTTTTACCACCCCACCTCGCGCCGTGTTCTGTCCTCCCAGGACGTCACCTTTGACGAGTCGGTGCCTTACTACCGTCTCTTCCACTACCGCACTGCGCCCCTCCCCTCGCCGCCCCTCTTCCTTGCGCCGCGTAGACCCTCTCCCCCCTCTGGGTCCTGCCCCTTCAGGTGTGTCCCAGGTAGACACAATCGAGCCTGTGAAGGTAGCTGTTGACTCTGGTACTGCTAGGGGTGCTGAGGTTGCGGGTGTCGGGTCTTGGGGTGCTGAGCCTGGGGGTGCGGAGCCTGGGGGTGCTCAGTCTGGGAGTGCTGAGCCTGGGGGTGCGGATCCTGGGGGTGTTGAGCTTGGGGGTACGGAGCCTGGGGGTGCGGAGCCTAGGGGTGCTTGGTCTGCTCGTGTGACCTTTGTTGGTGCTTCGTCAAGGCGGGAGCTACTCTCTCCGCAGAAGCTGCGCGAGTGGTTTGCCCGGCGCTGGAGCCGTGCTGCTGGAGCTGGAGGTACTACTGTTTCTGCTGGTCCTGGAGGTGCTCGTATTGGCGGTACTGTAGCTGCTGGGACAAGGGGTGCTGCTAGGGCCGCTGGAGTTGGTCCTGGTGGAGGTAGTGCAGGAGCTCCTGGCGGTACTGGAGCTGACGGTCCTGCTGAAGATGGAGCTCCAGGAGCTGGAGCTGCTGGGGGTGTTGGCGTAGGAGGTGTTGCCGGCGCTGGTGCGTCTGAGGGTGTTGGGGTTGGCGCGGTTGGAGCTGGAGGTGCTGCTGTTGGGGGTACTGGTGCTGTCCCTGCTGGTTCTGGAGGCGATGTGCGACCGCGGTCCTACTTCGTTCCACTCCTTGAGTAGGTTCTTGGTCTCCCACCCACTACTGGTCCTCCACCTCCCTTAAAGTGTCCACAGGCTATCCCGTCGCGGTCATAGTTACAGCCCGCCTCCCCCGTGCCTGCTACTTCTCCCTACACTTGTCCTACTGGAGGTCTTGCTGAGCGTCGTGAGCCTACGTCTCGTCCTGCGTCGCCTGTTCGTGCTACTCGCACTAGTAGTCGTGCTCCGCATCCGCGTCCTCCTGCGGTCCCATGCACACACTAGATGGCACTGCGTCCTTCCACTGCTCCTCTGCGTGTCCCATTGCCGTCTCCTCCAGAGTCCTCTCTTCCTGTCCTTGCTAACCCGGAGTCTGACTCTCTTCGTGCTGCCAGTCCTACTGTTACGCGTCTCTTGGCGACTGTTGTCACTGATCCTTCCTTTGAGTCCACTGCTCCGTCTGCCTTAGTTGCTGAGCTTATCGACTTTGCTGCTCGTTGTCGTCTAGACTAAACTGCTAGTCTTGTTGCTGAGTCTGAGTCTGTCTGTCCTCCGTCCGTCGGGGGTGAG